TACTTGTACTACTATTCCTACTTCACGGTTTTTCACTTATTGCGGGTCTTCAGGGTACGGTTCCCCCGAGATAATCGAGGGACTACTGTAGTCTAAAAATGTAAACATGCCAAAACTCAGTCAGTTTTGCAGATCTTGACCTAAAACATGGAGTGTTAGTAGCTAAGTCTAATCACCAACAGATATTCTAAGCACAAATGAATTGCTCATGATCTTGGTTTAAACTTTGCCATTAATTATCTCTAATCAATTATGTCTGTTAGCAAAATATCTCACAAACCAATATACATATTTTAATGAAACTTCCAGAAAATATAACAATTAATCTAGATTTACTATTGATTATGTTTGAAGTCAATCCAATTAAGGATGGCCGCCTAAGTCAGCTGACCTTATAAACCACAGAAATAGCCATGGTTCAGTCGGTTTTAAAGCGACTCAGCAAAGATTTGATGTGGTTGCATATCTGAAAGTACATCACAACACAGACCTTAAAGTCTATATTGGGCAACAAATTTCCTTAAAACCTTTGCATTAACTGCTAAAGTCAAACCTCTGTGTCTGTTAGCAAAATATATCATGAACTAGTAGATGAACTTGATGTCTAGAATCCAATCAGTTTTGCAGCTATTCAGCTAAAACATGGTCTGTTAGTGGCTGAGAGTCGCTGACATCATTCTGATTGTGAGAACTCATAATACTCTATGAGACCGCACATAATCAGTTCAAAATTTGACCAAACTGGTATAACTTTATCATTTCTCATCATAATAATGCATCTCTGTAAGGAATATTTGTCCTTTTGTTTGTATTGCATATTAGGCATGTTTTCTGCTTACAATGAAACTCTGCATCAGTATTCAACAAATGGGTCAGGACACTTAACGGGATGTTCAGACCTGCTAATACAATCCATTCTAGCTCATTCAATTCCTAATAAACATTGTTTGTTTAGTTGGTGTAAAAATGTGCCACCACATGTGACAACATGTGGGGATGTGATAGCATCTCAGCTACCTGCCTCACATGAAAATCAACACGCAGCTTAGTTCACACTCAGCGTTCAGCTGGGCAACAAACAGAACACAAACGGGTGCGACGGTGATTTAATAAAATCTGTTTATCCATGATTTGTCATTTACAAATACTGTAAAATGTATTTTTCTTTCCAAGTATTTCAGTTTACTGTGGGTAATAGAGAATAAGGTAATTAATTTATGTTGCCAACTCTGGAGTCACTGAATAGACAAAAAAAAAAGATGCAGTTTTTATTCTGAATGAGTCTGTGAAAGAAAGTCTTAAAACTTTTGCTCGCAGTGACAACAACTGTACTGTCTAAGTACACAACAGCAACTCATCACCTCTAACTTCAGTGTTATATCCACCATTAAATGTGTGGTTCAGACCAATAAGGGGAACTTTCAATTAAAGCAGAGATTTTATGACTATGTGCAGCTCTGAGATAACTTGTGGAAAATAAATTTCTGTCCATAATTAGGAGAAATTAATTATACGACTGGAGGAGCCCAGCTGTGGAAAGTACAGTAAGCCAGCTGTAAATGGTCAGATGGATAAATCGCCTGCCCTCAAATGTAAAATTCAAAATCAATTGAGTGAAACAGAGAGCTGCTCCCAGTTAAAGCACAATCCTCTCTACAGCTGTGTTAAATCCCCTATTTAGTGT